AGCCACACCAGTCAAATAACTCTACTAATTTGTGAATTTGTTTGGTTTCCAACATATTGAGCATGAAAATGGGGTGACTATTAATACACCTGCATTCTAAAAATGTTTAGTTTCCATTTTCCTTTTCATTTTTTTTTCTGTAGCATTTTCTGGGTTTCAAACTGGTCCTAAAGAGACTGTGCCTTAAATTTATGCATATGAAATATAGGCTCACACTCATGTTAGCATTAAATTCAGTAAACATCAATGATTCATAAGCTATACGTATTTGTTTTTGTTTTCTAATTTCTTGGGTGTCTGAATTAAGTCAAGGAATACATAATAATAATAGTGCGATGGAGTTCTTTTCTTTCAGGTATCAAGAACTGGCTCATAGAGTGGATGAGGCTAGGTGGTGCACATGTTGAGGGGCACCTTTGAGAAATTCACATTTCAAGTTGACTTGTAAATTGCTATATGACCATGACAAGTGGTTTTCATTTATTGTTGATATATTTGTGATTCGTCTTAATGGTATCATATTATCTGAGCAAATGACAACTGGTCTAATGTAACTATTATAACAGCAGTAATAGGAAGGTTTCAATTAAGGATAAAATTACTGCTAATAATTAGATATTGAGTTACGACCTTGCACTCATGTTCCATAAAAACTAATAACAAACCCATTAGAAGTAAATTTCAATTGTTGAAGTATTATAGAAGGAAACAGACAAGACCCTAAGCTAAAGAACCCAACTTTTTTGGCAAAAGTAAATTGTCAAGTACGGGGCTAGTCCAGTTCAAAACATTCAGAACTTAAATCTATACTCAATTCGATTCTCAACAAAAATACATGATAAGTTCAATACAGAAAATACTTGACACAGCTATAAAGATATTCTTTTACACTACGAATAAGCTAAAGGAACACTTCACATGGCTAGTTCATTCTCTTACACTATCAAGAAATCCAACCAAACTTATTGCAATCAATCAAATTACGAATAACCTAAATCACGAATACCCTAAATTCATCCGAAATTTATTTGTGGTTTAGCTTAACCTCAAACTTATACGAATACAATCAAATTGCAATCAGGGATACTTACAGGCCGGCCAAAGTGAGCATCCAAGAAATTTTCTAATGGAGTTAGATGTCGAAGAAGATGATCCACTGACGGACTTCATCGGGAATGTTTCTCTTCTTCTCCTTCGTCCAAGCTTCGTCGTCGGGCTTCTTCTCCTTCCTCCAAGCTTCGTCGCTGGCTTCTTCTCCGTCGTCCGTCTTTAGAATGAGTTTCCGGGGATAATTTATTAGTCACGTTGAATGCACGTGAGCCCTTATTACCGGCTAAAACATGGTCTCCAGGTTAACCAGGTTAATAGAGTCTTCATGAAGGGTGGGCTATTAGTTGGAATTAATTTAGATCTAGTGTAACACCTGGGGCAATGCCCCAGTAGTGTCACATTAATATGAATTAATATCTAAAAAATTATAAAAGTCAATGATAGTAAGGGTAATTTGGGTATGAAAAATGTGTTGGTGTAACTAATAGTTATAATAACTTGTACAACTTGCTTTAGCCATTTACTTCTCCGTCCAACCTGTTCTTTTTTTTACCTAACATATCCCTACGGCTCTGTTAAATCTACTTGAACCACAAGTTTACCACATCCTTAATTTCTATTTTCTTCTTCCTACACCTCTGAATTCCTCATCGATACACTGATACACGTGTATCGACGCTAAACGAGGTACCACTTACAGGTGAGACTGTCCCATTCGGCTCACAACTGAACAATATTTCCCAAACAGGTTAGGGGTTTTCCGATCTTCGTGTCTTCATTTTCCGGTTACGAATTAATGACTGTTGCTTACTTTTAATATTACTTAATTTGCTTTGCTTCGTTTTTGCATCTTTTCCTTTGTTCTTTGAACTTGCTATGAAGTTTAAGTGTTCCTCCTATTGATATTCTAAAAAATATTACCACAAGTTATATTAGTAAAATCTCCAACTCATAATTCGATCTCTTTCCCTGTAATTTACCATAATCAATGTGTTTCTCTAGAATCTATCACCTTTGTATGAGTTTTTAACTCTCACTTTACAAGAATTTTCATATTAGGTTGAATAAAGAGTTAAAAGTATGACATTATACTACAATAACTACATTTCTTGATCAAAACTTTTCCCGCCATGCTGTTTATAATGTGAAGAAGTTTTTGTTGACAATTGACTTAAATATTTGTATAGCTATTAAGTATTGAAGGTTCACACCTGTAAGTATTGATTTCACTATTATTTTTGTCTGGCATGATTTGTCGTGATGTTAAGTTAATGCCAATGTTGAAATAATGCCAATGTTGGAAAAAGTTAAAATGTTAAAAGAATGTAAAACTTGCTAAAAATAACATATATGCATTGCTTTGAAATAACATTCTTTGAGGTGAGTCATGTTATTTTTAAAAAACATTGTCCATACAGTACAAAATATCACACCATTGGTTGAATGACAAATTCACATATGAATATCATATTTGGAAATATAATTACTATTGTTACCAGTGAATCAAAACAACATTAAAAGTACAAAGAAATGAGCGGCAGAACTTTCTCTCTCATAAACATTTTTTTAAAGTACGAAGTACTATCTATAAGATATGCTTACTAACAATTGAGCAGAAGAATTTTCTTTGACATATGTAATCCTGTTAGGTATAAGATAAGTTGGCTAACAATTGAGCTGAAACATTTTGTATCTCATATGTAGTACGTTTAGGTATTTGAAAATAAGTTTGCTTATAATTGAGTGGGAAAATTTAATCTCTAATATGTAGTTCTTTTAAGTATACGAAGATAAGATAAGTCGGCTAAAAATTGAGCAGAACAATTTTCTTGCTCATATGCAGTGTTTTTAGGTATAAGAAGATAAGTCAACTAACAATTGAGCGAGATAGTTTTAATTATCTCTCATATGTAGTACTTTTATGTATTAGAAGACAAACTTGCTAACAATTAAACATGATAATTTTCTCTCTCATGTGTAGTTATTTTAGGCATAATATAAGCCCATAACAATTGAGCGGAAGAACTTTCTCTCTATATGTAGTGGTTTTAAGTAGAAGATAAGAAGATAAGTCAACTAACAATTGAGCGAGATAATTTTAATTATCTCTCATATGTAGTGCTTTTAGGCATTAGAAGACAAGCTTGCTAACAATTGAACGAGATAATTTTCTTTCTCATATGTAGTGATTTTTGGTATAATATATAAGCCAGTAACAATTGAGCGGGATAACTTTCTTTCTCATATGTAGTGGTTTTAGGTAGAAGATATTGAGCGGGAAAAATTTTTCTTTCATACGTAGTGCTTTTAAGTATTAGAAAATAAACTTGCTAACAAGTAAGCAGGGAAGTTGAGCGGGATATTTTCCTCTCTCATTTGTAGTGCTTTTAGGTATTATATTAAAAGATAAGTTTGCTAACAATTGAATGAGATAGTTTTTTCTCTCATATGTAGTGATCTTTGGTATAAGATAATCCAACTAGCAATTGAACGAGACAATTTTCAATTCTCTATCACATGTAGTGATTTAGGTATAAGGAAAAGAAAATAAACTTTCTGACAATTGTGTGACAAATCTTTTTTTCTATTATGTAATTCTTTTAAGTATATGATATGATGATATGATAATTCAGCAAACAATTGAGTAGGAAAGTTTTCTTTCTCATATGTAGCTATAAGATAATATGGCTAACAATTGAGCGGAAGAATTGACTCTCACATATGCAGTGCTTTTAGGTATAAGAAAAGTTTGTTAATATTTGAGGGGAAGAATTTTATCTCTCATATGTAGTGCTTTTAGATATTAGATAGACGATAAGCTTGCTTACAATTATTTCAAAAAAAAAAAGTTTGCTTACAATTGAGCGAGATAACTTTCTCTCATATATGTAGTTCGTTTATGTATAAGATAAGTCGGCTGACAATTAAGTGGTAGAATTGTCTCTCATACGTACGTAATAATTTTAGGTATAAGTTAATCCGGCTAAAAATTGAGCTGAAGAATTTTCTCTCATATGTAATTCTTTAAGGTCTAAAGTCTACCTGCTAATAATTGAGTAAGAGAATAATTTTCTCTCTCATAAGTTAGCAATAATTTAACTAATGGTTAGCATGTTCTTATTTAACTAATATTCGTTAGTTTTAATATTTATTGTATTCATTTAAACTTTATGTCATTAACTTAGTGTACTCACTTTATTAGAATAATATTTAGTTTTAAAAATTAAATAAACATTGAAATTAGTAGGTAACAAATTCTATAAAGTTATTTTTAGAAGTTGTTAAGAATGGTTTCTAGCTATAGCCTTAACCAAATTCTCACTCTCAAATACTATCAAGAGGTTTTGATCCACTAATATTTGTATATTCATATGGACTACGACACCTTTCCTGAAGTAGTCATCATATTTAACTGTCAGACCCGTGTTTCCCAATTTGTAAATATCATCTCTCGATTGTCTAAATTGCTGTAAATATGGTCCTTTGAGAGGTGAAATGTATAATGTGGGCGAGGAGTACATTCCACTCCTCAAAAGACCATATTTACAACAATTTGGACAATGGAGAGATGATATTTACAATCTCAGAAATACGGGTCTAACATTTCAATATTGTGATAATCTCAGGAACTAAAAGTGCGATTTTCCCAAATATATATATATATAAGTTTTTGTAATATATATTGAGATAGGACACTAGGACTAAGAAATTTAAGGCCACAGAAAAGCGTAAGAATGTTTTTATGCAATCATTATCTGACATTTTTTAATCCTTTGAGACCGAAACTCAAGTCCATAGAAAACTAAAACATTTCTTCCACTTAATATATTTGATAATAATGCATGTTTATATGATGAAAACAGTCTATATTAATAAATTTATTCTTAATTATGAAATTTTATTGTCCCGTGTATCACACGGTGTCCCGTACATCGCACGGTAGAATACTAGTTTTAAATATAGGGGTGTGGATAGTAAAACTATGGCTGCATTAAGAATTGCCCTTAAACCGTATCAATAACCAAAGCCCAAAGAGCTATTGACTCGTCACTCATCAACATCGACGAACGCGGAACCGCCGGAACGCCAACGCCAACTTGCAAATTGTTGACGCTTGGCCGGCAACCGCCTCCACCCTGCCCCTTCCGTCCTTCTCATTTCTGCTGAGCTGACTGCTCAGCCTTCTGTAGCGCTGCAAAACCCACGACTGAGCCGGGTGATCGCGGGTGACCGGCACCACCGCCTGGAGGCTGGAGCCTGCATGACGTCCGACCACTGGACCTGCGATTCAGACGATTTTGTTTCTTCCAAGCCCCCCTTTTCCCTTCTCAGTTCTCTGGTACACCTCCTTAACTCTTTTTGATTAGTTATATAGTTCATGAATTCATAGTTGATTAGTTGTTTATAAATGATTATTTAATAAATAGTTAATTGATTTGTTGTCTGTGGAGTGTAAGAGTGTGATTACATGATTAGTTCATATTCATATTTGTGGATTACTTGATTGTTATATGTTGATTTGTTATAATGGTGTATAGTTGTGCCCTTGTTGATGTTGACTTTAGTTGATTAGTTGATGTTTTTTGAAACTATTAGTTCATAGTTGTTGACTTGTTGAATTTTAAGTGATTAGTGATTTTTTTGTAATGTAATTAAATTCTGATTTTGTGTTAGTGTTATAATATCTTCAGTAATTTATTTTTTGAACCATAAGTAAATTTATAAATTTAACTCATTTCAAGGTGTGATTAAAATGGTTGAATCTGGACTGAGAAAGAATAGAAGAGGAGAGGATGAGAGAAAGATGCTTAATGGATGAACAATACTGAGCATTGACCATTGAGCATAATTAGAAAAGCTTGATTTTGAAGCTATCTTTGAGGGAAAATGGTCAGATAAACCCTCGAACTTACATAAAAAGGTCAAATAAGCCCTTATATAGGAGGCTCTGTCCCGCCAAGATCATTTGGGGCGGTTCCCGGTGGAATTTTTTGATTGATTTTTTTGAGCATCTTATTCATTAAGTCTAGTTTACTCATACCAAATTTCAGCTAAAACTTCAATCGGGAAGGCATTCAAATGAATGCTTGAAGATAACTGCGTAGTTAGAAGTGCACTTATCTTCAAGAATTCATTTGAATGCCTTCCCGATTGAATTGTTAGCTGAAATTTGATATGAGTAAACTAGACTTAATGAATAAGATGCTAATAAAAATTCATCAAAAAATTCCATCGGGAACTTTCCCAAATTGCGATGGCCGGACAGAGCCTCCTATATAAGGGCTTATTTGACTTTTTTATGTAAGTTCGAGGGCTTATTTGACCCTTTTCCCCTATCTTTGATGATTTGGCTTCACAATGCTCAACAAGAAACATATTTAAGTATATTTATCACGCAGTAAAATTTTCTATATTTTTTATATTTGAACCGAGTATACTTAATTTATTATTAAGCATGTTACTATGTTAGTTTAGACTAGCTAATGTTCTTACATTTTTTTATAGATTAAGCCCATTATACATTTCCCGCCCCTTGCCTTTGAAATCGACAGGAGTGGGCCTGTGGACAGAGTATACAGATGTCTCTTATACAAAGCAATGACTATACGGAAATGTGCATTTATAAATGAAATCTTGCATCAACAGAATTCAAAGAACAATTCAAAAAAAAAAAAATGAAAAGCAGCACTAAAAGTAATAATATTTGGGCTAAAAATTTACTTATAAAAATGTCTATTGAACACAATTCTGAAGTGGTAGCTCTCAAGGTGATTCCTTGTCACACAAATTACACAATATGTATTGTACTCCGTAGGTTTCCAAAAAAATTTACGTTTCATTCATTGAAATCCTTGGCAAGAAATTATTATAACTTGCACTCTAATTTCTTCTCTGAGAACATTAAAAGAAACACTATTATATCATTTTGGAGTTGTCTAGCTACTTTACATGCATGATGCATCTCAATCTGCTTGTAGGTGTTGGAGGAGCCATGTCACTGGTGAAAAGATCTTGGAAGCAGAAGCGTCAGAGCGAGAACATCCTTGATTGTATGATGCATAGGACTAAGAAGCCTTCTATTGGACTTGAGGAGAAGATGAAGGTTGTTAGCAGGGAAAAAAGGTGGAATGAGATGCCACATGATATTTTGGTTGACATAATGAAGCACATAGGTTATTTTCAGAAGACTTACACCATAAAGCATATGTGCAAGTCATGGCTATCTGCTCTGTTAGACTCTGTTTTCCCACCGGGAGATGTGCTTGACCTGCGCCTTTTTGATAAGATCACAGAAAATGCTGAAACAACCCAAAGAGTGTATGAGAATTACCTCTGGATGGTGCTCAAACGACGCAAATACACCAAGGTTTTTTTCCCTCAACGCCCCTTCAGACGAGAGCTCTATGAGGGGATAGCTAAAAGGTACCTCATCTGGAAGTCCATTCCCTATTGATCATAATGCTTTAGTGAGGCCTTGGATTGGGAAAAACTCTAGAGTCCCTAGTAGTCACGTATGCAATACAATCTTACAACTTTCTAGTTATTATTTAATGTTTTTATGGTCTATATTCAACTTTATTTCTGTTCAACATACTTTGACCTTTCAGAGCTGTCCTTTTCCTGCACCAGCCTTTTAAAATGCTTTTTCATAAGTTGCAGCTACTTCTGTGTATTATGTCCAAGTCGCCATTTGTCTTTTCTGAAATTTCAACCTGAGAAATGTTAGTTTTAAGTTTTAAAGTGCTACACTGAACAGTGTAAAATTGCAATTCAATCTTTCCCATTTTTTCCAGCATCACCAGGGGATTAAGGACTGAATTACCCAGTTTGTTAGTTGATCCCTGCCTGAGAGTGGTATTACTAGTTTTGGTTGATGTCTTTGTATTCTAAACAAGATTCTGGGTATAATCTATTGCAAAGGATTATGAGCGGTATCACATCTAGGTGTTAGTTTGCAGGAGCCCTACATCACCACATGCAGGGGTGGAGACAGGGAGGGGCTGGAGGTGGCCACGGCCCCTGCAGGAAAAAAATTCTTAAGTATATATTATGTATAAATACTTTTAATCTGTAGAAAGTATGTTGATATTTTAAACTTTGGCCCCTTCAATGTAGAATTGTTAAGGATTGGCCCCTGTAACCCTAAATGTCTGGCTCCGTCATTGACCACATGGGCTACAATATTTTTTTATGCGTATTCTTTGGTTTTGGTGTCACTAGCACATGAGTAGAAGGAAATAACTCTGTAATACTTTCTGATCACTCCTGGAAATTAAACCCAAACAGATGAAGACTGGTCTTGCTTTCAGTGAAACACTAGAAGATGGAAATGGTTTGCAGAAAATGACTCTGTTTTTCTGGAAATTATTTTCCCAGAAACACCTGCTTCTGAAACAGACCGTAAAATAAACAGACCCTATAGAACTGTGCTCTGGTTTGACCTCAATTTCATCCATGCTAGTTAATACATTTAAACAACCTTATCAACATCAGGAACTTGAACTTACCCTTCATTATAGTTGCTTCACAATCTGTTTTGGAAAAAGACTGGCTATCAATAGTAGAGGTCATCTGCACTACCAATGTGGTGACATGCAATGGGGTTTATGCTTACATCTTCAGTTTTTTTTTTCTCTCCAGACTGCCTGAATTGGAATGTGTAGTTATCCACAGACATTTTCGTGTTGGTTCATTGAGATTGATGACAGGTATGTTTCGTTATTGGCCAAAGCTAACAGAAGCACACTTACATGTTTTTTTCGTGAGAAAGATTGTCCATTGCAAAGAGATCACAAAACTTCAACTATATGGATGGATAAGAGACAACAATGCGGATATGATTGCCAACAAGCTGCCTCAACTGGAGCATCTAGATATTCAATCATGTGTGTTGTCTTCTAGAGCTCTCGCTATAATACTGGATGGGCAAAGAGAGCTAAAGCACCTTGACACTCGTCATGCTGCCCGCTTTGATGATAAGTTCCTGAGTGTGTTTGGAGGTAATCCATTTGGAAAAGCCATTGATTGGAATGAGGAGGAGATCTTTCCTAAGGTTGCTCATATCAAGACATATTTGGAGTGCCAGAGGAAATGTTGCCCTGTCTGTGCCAACTTCTATGATGCTTCTGTTTCTAAGCTTGGATTGCGTGCTTGGTTGTTCTATGATTTATCTAATCACCCCCATGAGCGAGGGTGGTGTATATCTAATAAATGTATCGCGGGACGTTATCCGTACACAGTACCGACTGTGTCGTGCATTGTTCATGAGTTTGGATCAATTCTACCAAGCGACTTTAGACCTGTACAAGATGATTCACGTGTTCTTTCCATCAATCGTGATTTCTAGCTGATAGATCATCATCCTTATTCTATCAATACAGGGGCATGCCATGTAGGAGATTTTGATTTTCTTACGCCATCCAACCCTACCAAGGCAAGTATCATTGGGGGTGGGTGCAAAACAATCCGTGTTGTAACTTTTAACTTATTCAGTAGGATAAATTACACCCTCTATGTAGGGGATCATTTGTTTGTCACTTGGGATGTTTTTACTTGGACTGTAATTTGTTCCAGATCAGACTAGACTTGTGTAGTTATAAAAATTCAAAGAAACCAGATCAGTTTAGATCAGACCAGACCAGCAAATTACAGTCCATGTAAAAACATCCTTATTATTTAAGTGTTGTATTGTTAGTTTACATCCAGTCGTAAGTCAATCTGGATTTTAAATGCAGCTATTAACGTTTCATGTTATTATTTTCCTCTTTATGTGTTTTTATTTTTGTTTTGATGGGAATCACCACACTTAATTAATTTAAATGAAAGACCTACAAAAAAATTCAAGTACTTAATGATAGTTGAAATAAAATGAAATAAAATTTAGGGATAGTGTCAAAAAATTACTAGAAATAATTGCACCAATATTACTTGTACACTTTGGATGGAAAAAAAATATGACCTGTTTTGACATGGACAAAAAAGTGTCCTGTCAAAATAAAAAAAAATCCTCCCTTCTCTTTCCAGCGCTCCATCTACGGCATGTCTTCTACGCTGCCCCCAATTCTTTGACAATTGCAACCCTGTAGAGATGGCGACCAAACCCTTGCGATGAAGATGGCGACTGAATCCTGTGATGAAGATGGAGACCAGACTTCATTCTTCTTCTGCATCGATTCGGCGACGAAGAGCTATGGCGACGTCGGCTACCTCGCCGCTGCAACTCCTGCTTTCTTCATCGTTAGCTCCATCACCTCTGCAACTTGCTGCCTCTGCTTCGATTCCTATCTTCAACGTTTTCTTCTATTTTTGTTACTCACAATCATCAGATATGAGTTGATTAGTTTTTAATAACTGAGATTGGGGATTAGGGGAGTGAGATTAGGGTTTGGTTTTTGTTAATTGGGATTAGGAGGATGATTTTGCAATTGACATTGTTTGCTGAAGTTTACGATAAAGATGGTTGGTTTGGAGGAATGTTGAAAGAGGGGTTGGAATGGAAGGGTTTGTGGGAGGGCCTGGGAAGGGAATATGTGGTGATTGTTGGGAGGGGGGTCTTTGGGGCTGGGGAGGGAGGTTGCTGATAGGCTAGCGGGTGAGCTGGTAGGCTAGGCAGGGGCTGGTATGCTGGGAAAGGAGGCTAGTGGGATAGGGAGGGGGGTGGTGGGCTGGGAAGGGGGTGGGGTTGGAGAGGCAGTAATGGCGGTGTCGTTAGTGTGGTGCTAACTTTTGGTTGAAATTGGTGGCCGCAATGACACGGGCGGTGACCGCAGTGACAAGGGCGGTGACCGTAGTGACACGGGCGGTGGTTACAGTGACACGGGCGGTGACGGCAGTGAAAACCCTCCCATTCAATTGTTAGTTGGCTTACTTTATACCTAAAAGCACTACATATGAGAATTATATATAAGATTTCGTTCAATTGTTAGCAAGTTTATTTTCTAATACATAAAAACGTTACATATGAGAGAGAGAAATTCTCTCCCACTCAATTGTTAATTGGCTTGTCTTTTTACCTAAAAACACTATATTTGATAGATAAAAGTCTCTCTCTCAATTGTTAGTTGGATTATTTTATACCTAAAAGCACTACTTCTGAGAGATAAAAGTCTCTCGCTCAATTGTTAGACGACTTATGACTTAATCTTTCTTATATCTAAAAACACAACATATGAGCGAAAAAATTCATCCGCTCAACTGTTAGATGAGTTATCTTACTTTATACTAACGAGCTAAGTAGCACGGAAACGGGAAACGTGAAACGTGAAACGGGAAACGCGAGTGATGGATAGTCTACCCGGGGGGTATCTTATCCGAGGGGTTATTGCGGGAATAACTTAGAGAGAAGTCAGAGTAAATAGGAGGAGAGAGAGTCGATTTTATTAAATGAACTCAGTGTGTGTAATCGAGATGTCGATTATGTCTTACAAGGAGAAATGGGCTGCTATTTATAGCAGCAATAAATGCGATGAGAGGACACGTGTCAGTAATCCAACGGCCGAAGGGTCACATCAGTCGGTTGGCACCGGCAGTGGTACGTTTACCGCATTGAATGCGGTTGGCGGATGTGACGTAGCATTAAATGCGGTGGTTGGCTGTCTCTAAAAGGAATCTTCGATGATTGAGCTTGTTCGGCCGAGGGCTCCTTGTGTAGCCGAGGATTCCCTGTGTAGCCGAGGGCTCCTTGCGTAGCCGAGGGCTCCTTGTGTAGTCGAAGGCTAGGTTCAGCCGAAGGCTTCCCCTGGTGCCGAGGGCATGAGAATGCCGAAGGCTCATGTTTTTGCCCGTTTTCTCCCAGCAGCTTCTTATGCCAGAGAGGGCTATCCTGCGAGTTTTGGAGCCTTCGGCCAAGGAGGCCGAAGGCACCCCAGTGTGTATTCCGGGCTACTTTGAGGCTTGGGCCGTTGCATCCGGGCCTGAGTTGTTTCCTGAGCTCAATGGACTTGTGTGGGAGAAGTAGGAGTCTATGGGCCGGGGGTTCCTGGGCCATATACTCCATCAGGAGTCCCTCACTCCTTTTGCCGAAAGGTACTTGAGGGAAAAGGAGTAATTGTGTTGATTCTCCTGAAAGCTTCATCGTTTTGTTGGGTGCCTTTGACTGATCACCTATCTTCTGCTGTTAACCGGAGGCTATCGCCTGGGGTTGTCTCAAGAGTCTCCGAAATAGAGCCGTTGTGATATAGCCGTTGGAAGAGGGGTTGACGTGGCGATTCCTTATTGGCAGATGGAGGGCGGGCGCCACCCATTGGCTGAACCGGCGGTGTGTAATGATGGTTTTTTCAAACGGAGGCCCATATATCGAGGCCCATTCCCTATAAATACCCAAGGGCAGAGGTCATTCTCCTTGCGCGATTTTAAGCTATAGCGAAGCTCTGCCCAATTTTCTAGAGAGACAAAGTAATTCCTTCGATCAAAAGCGACTTTTGAGGTCAGTTCTTCTTCAGTTCTTCGAATTCCTTAGCATATTTTGCTCTTCCTCTCTTAGATCTTGTGTTAGAGGTCTTAGGAGCCTTCGGTCGGAACACTTAGGTAGTCCCCCTCAGCCACACTTCTCCTATTCTTCCTTCAGAATCATGTCCTCTCAAAGCGATTCCCAAGATATCTCGGGGGAGTCGTCGGCACGACAGGGAAGCTACTCGGACGTGGAATCCTCGAGTGCGCAATCCTCGGCTAACAACGATTCAGCGGTTGCCGAGGAAGTTCAAAATAACCTTCGCACTGAGCTGGAGGCGGAGGAGTTCGAGCAAGTTGCTGCTGATGAAGAAATGGCCCTCGCACTCCAAGTAGCTGAGGAAGAAGAAGAGAGGGAGCGACAGGAGGTTACGGTCGCCGTCTTGCCTCTCCGTGGATCCGGGGAGGCGAGTACCTCCCGGCCCCTAGATCCGGAACCCCTCAGCGTTGCCGTGGGAAAGAAGAGGAAGAAGACGAAGGCTTCCAAAAACGGCAAGCAAACCGCCGTGGATTGCGGGAAACCCGTGGGGATACCCGAGGGGCACTCATGGCTGAACACTGCTTCCCTCGCGCTGAAGTCGAGGGCTGATCGGGCCGAATGCTACGTTACCCAGCTGCATGTGGGGCCTTCGGCTACCGTGATCGAACCGGGACCCGATGATCTCCTGTTGCAAGCTCCGGAGGGTTGCTTTGCGGTCCATGTGCTATCGGTTGCCATGGGCCTTCGGTTCCCGCTGCATCCTTTTCTCCTCGAATACCTGAGGTACGTGGGTTTAGCCCCCTGCCAGCTAACCCCAAACAGCCATTCCTACATAACCGGCTTCCTGCAACTGTGTCAATCCCGAGGGGTAACCGCGACCCTCGACCTATTCTTTCAAAGCTTCAATTTGTGCCGAGGGGGTCACACCAATTCTGAGGGGTTCGCAAACCTGCAGCAGCTTGCTCCCTGGAGGCTGTTTGATGACGTGCCTTCGTCCCACAAAGGATGGAAGGACCGCTTCTGCTACATCAAGATGGCGGAAAATCCGTTCCCGAGGGAGTTGCGCAATCATTTCCGGCGGCACCCGAAGGTTGGAAATGTCGTACTTCAGAGGGAGGGGAAGAAGATTGCTGCTTTGCTGCCGGGGGCCACAAAGCACGTGACCGTCAAAGACTCGACTCTCCCAGAAGATTTGCTGGCCCTCGGCTTCCGGCGGTATCGTTTCCTGGGCGAAAAGGACGAACAGTACCCTGTCCTCGAGAGAGCCTTTGGTAGCATTGGAGGTAGTTACCGAAGGGTCTGCTTTATTGTACTTAGGATTTTCGTACCTCCTCATTTCCTTTCTTTTGTAGTTGACCCTTTCGGTCTGACTTTACCGTTGTTTTGCAGGTGTTAGTATGGACGTCTCCAACTTTGCCGCGCTGAAGAAAAAGCTGGCCAAGGAGCCGAAGAAGAAGAAGGAGACGGGGGTTCAGAAACCTGTCGATGAGTTCTTCCGAAAGGAAGGGGATGCTCAGGTCCCGGAGGGTGAGGGACCCTCCCAAGCTGCTGATACCGGTGCTGGTGCCGGGGGCTCCAAGGCGGAGCAAAAGAGGAAAAACTCCGGCAAGGGTGTGATGCCTCCGGAGAAGAAGAAGAAGAAGGGGCCCCCCGAGAAGACGGACGCCCCCGTTGTCATTGTCGAAGAGCACTCTTCCTCCTCCCCCCCGGGAAATGTCCTCCCTCTCCCCGGGGGCCAAGATAACAGCTTGGCTTGGCCCCGGGATGATGTGCAGTTCTCTATCACCAAGGGAACTGCCATCATGCATGGCACCCTCAACCCGAGGGAGTTCCTAAAGGGTGCCACGCCCCCGACTGACAAGTCGGTGCTGTCGAGGGCCAAGGATGATGCCCTCAGCGCCAAAGTGCTCCAAGCCTCTGTCACCGTAAGTCTTTCGCTTAGCTTTTGTTTAGTTGGTAGTCTTGGCGTATATTTTTTTTTACTTTACAAAACTGATCATTGTTGCATGATGGTTTTGATCTGCAGGCTGCCCTCGGTCTTGGAGAGCTGCTCCAGAGGATGGAGCAATATCAGGCGCAGAAGCGCCAGGCTGATGAGGCTCTGGCGGAATCCCGACGGCAACTTCAAGAAGCCCAAGAGACCCTTCGGTTGGAGAAGATGGCATTCAACGGCATTCTCGAAAATAACAAAGTAATCGCCAGAGCCGAGGGGAAGGCCGACGCAGAGAGGGCCGCTGCCGAAGCCGCCAAGGTTGCCGCCGAGGAGGCCGAGGCAGTCAAGAAGGAAGCTGTCGCCGAGGC